GAGAAGATTTGATTGCTGTTGAAGAAGATGATGGAGAGACTGTTGTTGATGTAGGTTTCTATAAAATGCAGCGATTGCATAACTGAATCTGTGGATTTTCGCCCCTATTTTTTACTTGTGTGTATCGATTCTCTGGTTTTCAGGTACAGTATGTACCGACGATACCACACTGCTCAATGGCGACTTTAATCGGCCTAACACTTCATGTCAAATTGATGCTTTCTGTGCATTCTGGCGTAAAAGTAAGCGATGTTAGATGGAATTATTTGAAATCTTGCGTTTTATTTTCTGACAGAAATATTTGCAGACTATTGTGAGGATAGCCGAGGGCACTCATGTGTCTGCCAGTGCAATCAATAAGCAGCTAGCCGACAAAGAACGCGTCGCAGCTGCCCTGGAAAATCCTCAGCTGATGAAAGTCGTTTATCAGTGTTTAACACCGAAGAATCAAGATTTCAGAGAGGTGTATTCACTGGCTAGGTGATATCGCTCATTTACTTATTACTTGGCTGTTTGGATCACCTGTGCATCTGGCAGTCTGTACAGTTGCTTTGAGCAGTGTTGCATCGTTTAATGACAACTATTTGGTGAACATATTTGTTTCGTCTGCTGAAGAAATCATCGGCTCATTGGTTCCTCCCCCATCCCCGCCACAGAAGCACTTTTTATTATAGTTTTAGCCGTTTCGAGGTGCATTTGGTGTATGTTGAGTGTCATCACACTTCGTTCCAAACATCGTCACTCGTATGCCATTGTGAGATACCGATTAAAAGATTATTTGCTTATTGCCCGGGCATCTTCTTTGATGTGGTACTATTAATAGAGTGTTGGAAGCTTAACCATCAGCCAATGAAGCGCTGCTCAAAACAACTGGAAAAGTTGTAAAACCGCAGTGAATGTGTTAGTGATGATGTAAATAAATTGATCAGATTGGGCAGGAATGTTTCGGCCCATTAAGTGCAAGTTGCCAGCTGGTCCAGAACGATACGGTGAATTACAGCTGATCCAAATAGTCATTTTGTTAGAGGCATGCTACTCGA